GAACACAAGACACAAGTAAATATTGCCCATTATATTTACAATACAATTTTGGTATCATGTTTGGAAGATGACATTACAAAATCGAAATTCCAAAGAGTCTTCACCACATTATTTACATGAGCAATTTCCCCTCAGTACAATCTTTCTATGAAAAGTTTTACTTTTTCTTGAAAGTCTTCACATATTTAAATAAAATGGCATTTTCTAGTACTTTGTTATATTCTTTGGCAGTCTCTAATCTCAGCTTTTTAATTGTATGACAAATCTGACAGGTGTTAAGAAAGCTTCTGAACATTCAGGATGTTGAAAGTGCCTTCACCCTTGTGTGGATTCTCTGATGTTTAGTGAGTACTGATCTCTGACTAAAGGTCTTCCCACACGCATTACACTCATAGGGTTTCTCCCCTGTGTGAGTTCTCTGGTGTTTGGTAAGAGCTGACTTTTCACAAAAGGTTTTTCCACATTCAGTACATTTATAGGGTTTCTCCCCCGTGTGAGTTCTTTGGTGTACTGTAAGGTATGACTTTACGCAAAATGACTTCCCACATTCGTTACATATAAATGGTTTCTCCCCTGTATGTGTCCTCTGATGGAGAGTCAGGGCTGACCGGTGGCAGAAGGATTTTCTGCACGCATTACATTCATAGGGTTTCTCCCCCGTGTGTGTCCTTTGATGTTCAGTGAGGTTTGATTTGACACAGAATGTTTTTCCACATTGCTTGCATTCATAGGGTTTTTCTCCCGTGTGCGTTCGCTGATGGTTGGTAAGGTGTGGCTTCTGGCAAAAGGCTTTCCCACATTCAGTGCATTCATAAGGTTTCTCTCCTGTGTGTGTTCTCTGATGTTGGGTAAGGTTTGATTTCTCCCAGAAAGTTTTACCACAGTCACCACATTCAAAATTTTTTTCTCCTGAGTGAGCTCTTTGAGACTGGGTGAGATGTGATTTCTTACTGAAATTTTTCCCAGTTTTGTGGTAGTCATAGTGTTTGTCCCCCGCATGTACCATCTGATGTTTAAAGAGAGTTGACTTTTCCCAAGTTTTGTTACTCACTTTATATTCTTGGGCAATCATTCTTTTGTAAGCTCCCTGATGAATAATGGAAGCTGAACTGTCACAGAAGATTTCCTCATATTCATTATATTCATAAGGACTGTTCCCTGTAAGAGCTCTCTGATGTCCAAATTGTAAACCCACTAAAAAGGACTTCCTACAAACACTGCATTCATGTGGCTCAATATCCAAAGGCATTCTCTGAGATACACTGAGCTTTAAAGTGTCAGTGAAGGGTCTTCCACGTTCAGTGTATTTGTAGAGTGTCTCCCCTATCTGAGACATCTGACTTGTAAAAAGGGCTCCTTCCTTATGGAAGCCTGGTCCATTTCCATTATACTCAAAAGGCTTGTCAGAAATTGGCTGAGTAAGAGTCTGGCAAAGGCTGAGGACATTCCTTTTTTCATCGTAGTTACATGACTTTTCTCCTACAGGAGTAAGGAATGATTTCTCACACACATTAAACTCATGAGGCTTCTTTCTGGAATAGTTCTTTTTACCAATAATTATTCCTGAAATATTTTTCAAATTCATTTCACATGAATCACATACTTTGAGCAGAAAATTTCTTGAAGAAATGAGGTCCATGTTGAGACGGAAGGCCTTCCGCCTGCTGTCACTTTCCAGGCTTACCGTCTTGTTGGTGAACATGAGCTGCAAAAACGTTCATCTTCCTGCCTGCTTTCCAATAGGTCATCAACTTTCCATTTCCTTTATAGAAATGAGAAAAATTACCACATCTTATGAATCTTAATACATTTCTGATAGAGTTGGATTTTTACAGAAATTCTCTATTCTACAGCCAATTCTTTCGTTTTAGATTCAGTTACCTGGTATGGAACTGAATCCAAGGTGTTTCATTTACCATCTCAGTTTCAGGAGAAAACAAACATGCTGCTGTGGAAGCAGGGATGGGAGCTGGCTATATCTAAATCTTAGAAATATATTTCTTTTTAAAAATTTTTTTCTTTTATGTGTATGAGTACTATGCCTACATGTGTGTAAGTGCACTTGTGTCATGCAATGCCTTCATGAGGAGGGCAGAAGAGGGCATTGGATCCCTTGGAACAAGAGTTATGGATGG